AATTATCACTGTTCACAGTCATTGAGACTGAGGGTTTATACTCTCCTCTCCACTTTGCATGTCTGAGATTTTCCATAAAAAATAGAGAAAAGGAAAAAAAAAAAGAAATGAAGGTCAGTTGATCTAGGGAGACGGTCAGCTGATGGGGCCAGTTAACTGAAGTGAGAGGGCAGGCCAAGGTCGGACAGACTCTACAGGGGAAGCAGACACAGCACAATGTGACTATGTGGTCAATGTGCCTGTTTTTTGGTTCCCCAGGCCTCACACTCCTCACATTTCTCACTGTGAGAGAGTAGCTGGGGTCTGCCACCAGGTAAGCTGGTGGTAAGACTGTCTAAGAAAGATGGAGGAACTGTCCTCAACATACCAGGTGTAAACATACTGTAGAGGTTGATTTTGGTAATGACAAATGTAGTATTTATTCATGCTTGAAAACCCCGATAAGCTAAAGTGAAGAAAATCTAAAAAGCAACTGTGCTCTATCACCAAGAGAAAAGCACTCAATGTTTTGGCGTATCTGCTGCCTTCATACATGCAGGGAGGGGCACACGTGTACATATATGCACATGCTTTCTCTACTGAGAAATACAGAATCACAGGGAAATACTGCTGTGTAACATGCTTTTTTAGTTTAAAAACTATACAATAGCATTTTGTAACACCAGTGTAAAGGCTGCATAATAGCTTGCTAAGGAACACTTTGACCTAGTATTTCTAACCCTGGACAAGAGTCAAACGTTAATACTGTTAAATAAAATGTTTCAACTTGAGAGGCTCTCTCTTATTTTGTTAACATATACTAATCTTATGTATACAAGTTCAGAGCTGTGACATGAGAAAGTAAGTTTTTTTTAATTGGGGGAGGAGGATGGTGGCAACATTCCTATCAAATAACTCTATTTTCCTTCCAAAAGTACAGGTTGTTGAGATTTTAGGTTTTTTAGGTTGTAAAAGCAATATATGAATGCTACAGGCTATTCTCCCTTGTAAGATAGGCACACATCTGGTATTACGAAAAGTAATAAAAGTTCTCTGGCTTCCTGCTACCTCATTCCACTGCCCAGAACTGGCTACTGGTCTGTCTTCTAAACATTCATGACGCTACTTTAAATACATGGAATGGAATATGTAATGACACATGCACACAACTTATGTACACTTAGATGTATAAATATGCATACACAAGGTAAACACACAGTGTACTCTACAATGTATCATACACATATATAACGAGGATTTTTTTTTTTTTTTTTGAGATAGGGTCTTACTCTATTGCCCAGGCTGAAGTGCCGTGACACAATCATGGCTCACTGCAGCCTGGACCTCCCAGGTGATCTTCCTGCCTCTGCCTCCCAAGTAGCTGGGACTACAGATATGTGCCACCATACCTGGCTATTCTTTTTTTTCTGTATTTTTGGTAGAGATGGGGTTTCGCCATGTTGCCCAGGTTGGTCTTGAACTCCTGGGCTCAAGCAATCTGGCCTCTCTGAAAGTGCTGAGATTATAGGAGTCAGTCACCATGCCTAAGCCTTTCCATCCTTTTATAACATTTCCTTTGTCTCTGCCCCTGGAACCAAGATAGCTCTTAGAGACACCACTAGTTTTTGCATAATAATACGCAAAATTCACACAATGGGTTAGACTGCAGGTCCATCCATCCCAGCATAACATCTGAGATGGCTTCAGGGAGGGAGTTGGGAATAAGACCCATATGTGGCTCTGTCCTCCAAACTTGACCACACTTGTCATTTCTTTAAACAACCTACTATGGAGTCTTCTATGATTGATTCCAAATCCTCTACAGTTACTACTGCCTGCTATATCCATCTTGGAGACTCAGGTTTCTGGTATTCATGCATAAAGTCCTGAAGAATCTCCTTTTCCATAAAACTATCTCTTTGAAACATGGTTCTTGTTCTGATAGGCTAGGTCAGGAGTCTGCAAACTAAGGTCAGCACTTGTTTTTGTAAATCAAGTTTGATTGGAACACAGCCATGCTCGTTTGTTTGCATATTGTCTATTGCTGCTTTCATGCTTCAACAGCAGAGCTGAGTAGCTGCAATAGAAACTGTATAACCATAACCCAAAAAGCCTAAAATGTTTCACTACCTGTCCCTTTACACAAAAAGGTTGCTGATCTATATTTTAGAATATGATGAAAACATATTTTTTCTTATCAAAAATTTTAGAGGACTTGAATCATACACCCTATATCTAGGATCTTTGTCTAGGCTAAAGAGTCTGTTTTCTACTAAGAAAACAAACCAAAAGCACCTTAGCTCAGACAATAGCAGTGTCAGCTGGCAAAGGTTTAACAACTTGAATTCCAGGAGGAAAAAAAAACTCTGATGTAGTATTTGCTGATTTCCATGGTGTAATTATTCCCACCATGGCTTATTTCAATCTAAAAAAAGGTGTTGCCACTGAACACGGAATTAGGAAGAGAGATGCACAAACGCTAGTATAAGTGCCTTGGGACACTTACTATCAATGGCCTAACTCCTCATTTTAAAGTCAAAGACATTGAGACCCAGAGACGGTGTCTTAACCCGAGGCTGGCCCAGTGACTGGCACCAGGTTGGAGGTAATTTCCCTGTGAGTCTGGCTGCCTCCCAGGAAATTACTTCCTACGTAGAAGGAAGAGTGGGGGAAAAGAAGGAAAAGGAAGTTCTTTGCCAGGTACGTGGTGATACGTGTTGGTTTTTATCATCATCTTCACAGTGTGGGACTCTGGTTTCTTCAGCACATGCCTCTAAGGCACACTTTAGGTAGGGGGTACTGCTCTTCACACAGGACCAGCTTTCATGTACACTCTGACAACAGACTATCTCAATTAACCAGCAGTTATCTAAGCTATCAGACCATAATTGCCAGAAAGACAGGGACTGCATCTTTTGTGCTCACTACTTTCCTGGCATCCAGCACGTAACTGGACACATGAGGAAGAGGTGGCCAATAAAAATCTACTGAAAGAATGAAGGAATGAGACCCCATCACCAAAGTGGAATTTTTTAATACAAAGAACACAGCAGGTGCTCAGAGTTTAGATCCCATTTCCTTCTCCTGTGGACTTCTCCTTCTCACCTGTGGACTGTGCAACACACACAACATGCTCATGTGCATGCAACACTTCTCAAGTATCAGCCGTAGCATTTAAACTAATCCATCAGAGCACAAGAGGCTCTATGGATGAAGGAATAAAAGGGAGGATGGAGTCAGAAAATTTCTTCGTCCCATATATATACATGTAACATCTGTCTTGAACTTGTTCTGACAAGGCACAAAGCTAAGGAAAGAGTCCCATGAAGGACCTCACCTACCACACTGCAGGATGGTGGAAATTGCTTTTTGACAGGGGCTGAGGAAGCATCACTCAGAGTGATACACCTCTGAAAGTGGAAAGTGAAAGAACATCAAGACTGGGAATCATTATTCCAATAAACTCAAGGCTAATAACCATGCAACTGCAAACAGCAATGAACACGTGCAAGGGAAGGCAAAAGCATGCCTCCCTGTTCTTTGGGAAATAACTTCCTGACTACTTGGTAACTATCACACGAACCCCTACACACTTGGCACGGTCTCCCCATTGGTACTTTTCTGAGCCCACATGCCCTGTTTGCCACATCACTGTTGTAATCCTGATGAACAGACAGGTCAGTTCTGCAGGCACAGAAACAACCAAAGGCATGTGTGAAACCGTGCTGACTTTTCAGGAGGCTGGCAAGGTTCATCACAGCCTCACAGGGGACCTAGTACATGGTTTCCAAAGTGAGATCAAACTTGGTTCCAGATACCAGAAGTTAACACTGTCCATGGCATGGGGTGGTGAGTGTTCCCATTCAGAGGAAGGATCACAAACAAGAAGCAGGCCCAATGAATGAAGCCTCTGAAGCATCCTCAAAGTGCGGTGCAGAGAACTCCTAGGGATCTCCAAGGTCAAAAATCACTTTCATAGTAATAAAACGTTACTGGCTTTTTTTCACTCACGCATTTTCAGGAGTATACAATGGAGGTCTCAAGAGGCTACATGATATGCGATACTGCAACAGACTGCAGAAGCAGCTATCAGAACCAGCTGTCTTCAATTATGCTTGACATCAAAGAGATTTGCAAAAATGTAAAACAATGCCATTCTTCTCAATAATTTTCTGTTTTGGAAAATATAGTTCTTTTTCATAAAAATAGGCAATATTAAGATATAATTAGCTCATTATTCTTTTTAAATGAATTATTAAATATAGAAATTTCTGTCTTACACATTATAAATATGGATAGATATAAATCACATAAAAGCTCCTTAAGATACTAATTTTTAAGAGTGTAAAGGGGTACTGAGTCCCAAAAAAGTTTGGGGACTTCTGTCCTAGAGGTTGCCCCCCAGGGAAGAGAATTACGTGTGTTGCAAGAAGGAAGATGCCATTACGATGTGCCAGCTAAACGTGGAAAAAAATGACTTGGTCATAACTGCAGCCCAAGCTCCTTTCTGGATCTCTGAATCTATCAGGGTGGGCTCTGTGTTCAAGTCTCCCACGTAAGGGTCTCTTCCCCCTCATCCCATTTTCCCTTTACCCCTTGGAGTGCATTCCCGGATCCGCCCGCACAACTTTAGCAAGCGTTTCCCCACCCAGCTAGCCGGGCCTGGGCGATGACTCTCAGTGCGGGCCTCACAGCCTCGGGGTTAGGACTCCCAGGATCGGCCGCACACCCTAGACAAGGACTTTCAGGACAGCACGCACAGCCAAGGCTAAGAGGGTCTAGGAAAGCCATTTCCAATCCCTGGTCCCTCTCTTCGGCATGACATAGACTGGGGACTGGGGGGACGTCAGTCGCCAGAAACACGTCCCCGATTCTCCTCTCAGCCTCCACAAGCTCGCCTCCGAGTTCCCCGGGCCGCACTGCCTCAGGCACCTCGGTAAAGGCCCGCACCGACTCCCGAGGGATACAGGGTGGACGGCGCTCCCGCCTGGGGACCTGGGCCGGGTAACGTCGGTACTCACCTCCGACTGCACGGTGGGGCTCCCGCGACCGGCGCACCAGACCCAAGGAGCGGGACGCGTCCCCGTGCGCTGCGCGGTTTCAGCTGCCGCCTCCACGCTCCGCCCCCTCTCGCCCCCGGGGCTGCCGCGCGATGGGCGGAGCAGGGGCGGGACTGGCGGGCAGCGAGCCGAGGAAGGGGCGGAGCCTGCGGGCGCCCTTGCGGGCCCAGAGGACTTCGCCCGGGGCAGGAGTCGAGAGTTGCAAAAGGCTCCTCTGTAGGATGTGGGAGAGCTGATCCCTCCGCCCGGTCCGCTTCTGCCAGCCTGAGTCCTGGGACGAGGGTGTCTTGCTCACTTTGGGGCTTAGCATTCCTAACGTCCCGCCGGCGTTAGGAAGTGACCAAAGGGTAGGGAAGAAATGGAATTATTTAAAAAACATGATTTGGCCATAACTGCAGAGGTTTCATGTACTGCAGAGGTTTCATGTACGTGTGGTCACTTCGTCCGCCTCCCTTCTCACTTTGTCCCTCCCCACCCTACCCACCCTCTCCAACCTCGCCTTAATTCTTTGCGCAAAGCCTGCCAAGTGGGCATCGGAGTCACGCTGTCAGAGTAGGACTTCAGCATTTCCGTGGCAAAAGTTCTATGTGTAGAGTTCCTTGGACATGTCACAACACTTTCTAATACACGATGTTCCCCGATCTGAAGTCAGAAAAATGGCTGGGAGATGGCACCAGGTGGACTTTCACAAGACCTGCTTTTCATGTTGGTTGGAGTTTTGCCCTTTTGGGTGAATGTGCGTTCAAAGAAGTGATTAGATCTTTCTAGATAAAAGGTGGTGAGTTTTTCCCGCCCAAATTATTTGGAAAGTTACTGTAGTTTTCTGAATAAGCAGCTTATAGGATGAGTAAACAATAGCCAGTACTAATAGCCCCCTGCTACCTTACACTGCCCTTCTACTCTGCACAAAGCCCTGTGATTGACTCTTTCCACGTTACTCAGTTCAGCTCTTCCAACCACCCTACAGGTAAAGAATATTACCCGTCTTTGCAGGTGTGCAATGTGCAACAGCTGAGACTCAGTCCGTAGGTTGATTTGACGCCAAAGCCTACACCTTCCCTGTCATGCTGCACTATAGGGTACATCTATCATCTAGTTATATTTAACTTTGAAATATAAACACTTATATTTATTTTGAAAGAGGAAGTAACTGTATTTCCAATATGAGAGGAGACTTTCCTCCCACCCACTTCCTAAATCCTTTCCATTCACATTAGTAATTAAATTTTCTTTGAGTCTCCACCATATGGCAGAGGTGCACCACAATCTCTGCAAAATCGTGCTCCATTCCCCGTCGGAGGTAGGGAGAGTAGGGCAAGGTGAGAGCGAGTAGAAGGCTGGGGAAGTCCGATGAGGACACATCCAGCTAGATTTCAATTCTTAATGAGGCAGCCATTCGGAAAGCGAAGTATCTAATGTTCAATGATAACATCCGTGTAACTGAGAATCCTTCGCAGTAAATAATCAAATCAGAGCTATGAAGGGAATTGAGATTTATTAGTAAGCATGCTGGCCAAAACCGTGAAGGAAATAGTTCCACATTCCCCCAGTCTGTTGCTCTTGGACGTTGTCACCAGTGACATGCAGATCGTGAATCCCAGGGCCTGTCCTCAGTTCCTGTCCTTACTCACTGCTCTTTGGTATTTGACACGGGCGATTCGTTTTCCTTGAAATGTTAACCTCCTTTTGGCTTTTTAGTCCTCCACTCTCAGGAGTCACCTCTTCCCTCTTTGGCCCCTCTTTTTTACGGTCTTTCATTTCACTCTCCCCTCTTGCTTTGTATGTTTCTCCATTTGCTGAGTTTTTCTTCATCTATTTTCTCACTACGCAGACTGCCTGCCACTTCTAGCTGAAGCCTGCTATATGTCTGTCATTGGTCTTACTTAACCTTCTGACCTTCACACTCTTGATTTGCAGCCATATGTGGCAACCCCACCTGGATATTCCAAAGGCACCTGTATTAGACCGTTCTCACGCTGCTGTAAAAACTGCCTGAGACTGGGTAATTCATAGGCAAAGAGGTTTAATTGGTTTACAGTTCTGCATGCTGGGGAGGCTTCAGGAAGCTTAGAATTATGGCAGAAGGAGAAGTAGGCACGTCTTACATGGCAGCAGGCGAGAGAGTGTCCTCTCAATGTACAGTGGTCCTCCTGAATGCTTTGAGGGGACTTTAGAATCCCTACATTTTTCACTGAATATATGTCTTCATACCAGAGAAAATTTGAAATAAATGTTTTGTTCCTCTTTTTAAAAAAGTTATATTCATTACAAGGAGAGGCAGTTCTTAGCCTCATCTTGGCTCCCAGTAAATATCCAACTGCTCTCCCCCATGCCCTCTTCCTACCACACCTACTATACACTTAATTTTCATGCTCTCTTAATTACTGCCTAAGGGCCTGATCCCTGAGCTGCCTTCCCAGGGAACAAGAATCCTCTGGGCGGCTGCTTACAGTTAAGCACCATTTCTCTCAATATAGCTAATAATAAAAATCACCCCCATGATCCAATCACCTCCTTCCCTCCACACATGGGATTACAATTTGCATGAGTACGCAAAGCCAAACCGTATCAGCGAAAATGGGAATTTAGTGTCTTCTCTAACCATCCTATCTCCAACCTGTCCCCTCCTATCCATCCAGTTTCTGTTTCTTCTTCATCCTAATCCCGCATCCTGAAAATGTATTTCATGATCTGTTGGGAAAGCTAAATGTTTAAAGGGTATATTGCTATGGCATATTACTATGCTCTCATAGGGTCCACCTAACAAATATTTCTGTCATGATGTAAAAGGTTCTGCTAATGGCCCAGCTGAGGGCATATACTCTAGGGACCTTCAGAGAGGATGTCACCCAAGTATGTAACTGCTCAGCACCACAGCTCTGCTCCAGGGGCCAGAGGCAGAAGGACCTTCATATGAAGGAACAGCACTGATTTAGGAGCCTTACCTGCTAGAAGGCTCTGCTGCTATAAGAAGAACCATGAAGATTCTGTCGGAGACCTGTTGAGCTCTGAGGAATGCCTCATTATATTCCACACTGACTTCAGTTGCTTGTATATGCTGGACTTCCTCAGTTTATTGAAAGGTCCTAGGAACTATCCCCAACTAACTTTGTATAATGCTTTGCAATTTATATTGCACTTTCACATACATATCATTTACTAGGAAGGAAGAGGTGTAAGAGAAAGACAGTCTAGCATAACGCTTCTCAGACCTTGGGGTACATTGAAAACACATGTGCCTGTGTTGTGCTCTTAGGAGGTTGAGTTTGATGCAGGTGGTCAAAAGACCATCCTTTGAGAAACACCAATGTTCTCTGAGTGTGGGTGTTTCTCAGATTCACCAGAGGGCACTGATTAAAAATATAGCCTCCTGTATCCTCTGCCTCCTAGAATGTCTGATTCATTAGGTCAGGGTGGGGGGTCTGTGTTCAGATTCTGAATACGCTACATTTTTACCACAGGTGATTCTGCTGTAGCATGTCCCCAGGTTGGCACCAAGGACCTGTTACCTAGAAATATACACTCCATGAGGGCAGGGGCCCATGTCAGTTTGTTCGTCATCCCTAACATGGAGTCTAGTGCATAGTAGGTGCTCAATACAAGTTTGTTGACTGACTTACTGTCAGTGTGTTTCTATTGCTTAGCCTTTGCTCTCTGTTGGCCTTTGTACTGTTCAGAGTCCTCTAGCATGGCACCGAGGGAAGACATGTGTTTGGCAATGAATGAAGTATAAAATGGTCCTCCTGAATGCTTTGAGGAGATTTTAGAATCCCTACATTTTTCACTGAATATATGTCTTCATACCAGAGAAAATTTGAAATAAATGTTTTGTTCCCCTTAAAAACAAAGTTATATTCATAGCAAGGAGGGGCAAGTCTTAGCCTCATCTTGGCTCCCGGTAAATATCCAACTGCTCTCTCCTGATGCCCTCTTGCCAGCACACCTGCTATACGCTTAATTTTCATGCTCTCTTAATTACCGCCTAAGGGCCTGATCCCTGAGCTACCTTCCCAGGGAACAAGAATCCTCTGGGCAGCTGCTTACAGTTAAGCACCATTTCTCTCAACATAGCTTATAATAAAAATCTTCACAACCACCTGTTGATGCTGGTAACATTATTATTGCTATAGTTTCACAGATGAGGGAACTGAGATTCAGAGTAGTTAGACAGCATGCTTCAGTCACGAAACTTAAATGGTGATCCCGGGGTTTTAATGAAGGCCGGCCTCACTCCAGAGCTTGTGCTATTAAGTGTTGTGCAACAAAATCATCAGATATCCTGAAGTTGTGAATTATTTGTTCTTTGCAGAAAAGAAGAGGGACTTAAATGTTCTAGGGAAAAGATTTGTTCTATCACCATATAGTCTGGAATTCCTTATTCACATATTTCCAGGGCTTGTTCTCCCTGATGATAGCACAGAGATCCCTGCTGCAGCCATGTAATGTAGGGACACCTGGGTAAAGAGACTCCTCATTCTGGGGGATGGAGGTGTTGAAAATCCAGGGCAGCTTGAGTATGAATTCCAGGATTGGTACATAATTCCTGGGTGTCTAGTACCATCTTTCACATGTGTTAATTTGCTGGTTACTTTTTGAGTACTTTGTGTTATATATTTCTCAGAATGGAGAGGGAAGTACTCTGCAGGATTGGTCTATTAAATTATTTAGGTATGCACAAAATAAAACTTTTTTTGAGAAAATAATTTGGTAACATTGACAGATGAGAGTAAAAATAAAAATTTGTCACTAATGTGACTCATTTATAATTTCAGTTTATGATGAGATTACTTTCACATGTCAGTTTAAGTGCTTTTTAAATTTTCTTCTTGAGACAGGATTTTGCTCTGTTGCCCAGGCTGGAGTGCAGTCTGCAGGATCACAGCTCGGTGTGGCCTCAACCTCCTGGGCTCAAGCAATCCTCCTGCCTCAGCCTCCTGAGTAGCTGGGACAAACGTGTGTGCCACCACACTCAGCTAATTTTAACATTTTTTATAGAGATGGGATCTCCTCATGTTGCCCAGGCTGGTCTCAAACTCCTGGGCTGAAGCAATCCTCCTCCCTCAGCCTCCCAAAGTGCTGGGATTACAG